GCTAAGCGGCCGCCAAAGCTGCAGGTACCCACACATTTTAAAAATGGCGTCAGTAGCACGTCTGAGAGTGACCTTTTGGATGACAAGCTTATTATGGACAGTCCATAGCGTCCAGGCGAGGACCCCTACGCAGAGCCAACGGATATGTCGGTAGAGAGGGGGGAGGCATGGATCTCTACGAGAAGGTCGGGGAAATTGGAATTGCACCACTGTCCACCAACCGTCTCGCAGAAACTGGACCAAAGAAACTGGGCCGTGGAGCACGCGAAGAAGATGTGGTTAGCGTCCTCCACCGTGCCGCGCAGGGGGCAAAGCCCATCTCCAGGTCCGTTATGCTTGAGGACTTCGACTCCGGAGGGGAGGCGTCCATGGATCCATTGCCAAAGGAAGATCCTAATCTTCAGTGGCAGGCGGATATCCCAGATCAAACTGAAGGGCCCGGGGGCGGGCGAAGGCGCGATGGCCGCATATAGGGACTTAGTAGAGAAGCGTCCGGAAGATTCTAAGCGCCAAGAGATGGCGTCCGGGGTGTCGGTGACGTTCATCGGGAGAAGGGCGATGTCCTCGAGGAGGGCATCCCAGGCGGCCACTTCGGGCGGGCCAAAAGGGCGGCGAAACGCGAGGCACCCTAAGTTAATAAGGGTCGTCTCAACAGAGACCCGCGGGTCAACAACAATGGCGAAGAGCTCGGGAAAGCTGGCGGCCAGAGAGGTGTCGCCGATCCACCGATCAAACCAGAACAGGGTCGCGGACCCAGACCCAACCGAGATGGACATGCCAATGCGAAGCACAGGGAGCAGCTGAATGATGGCTTACCAAAACTGGGATCCACCCGAACGCTGACAGAAAGCCAGAGGATGTCCACGGAGGTACTTGTTCCGGATGATGGTGAGCCAAAGCCCTCCGTCACCATTAGCAATACGCCATAGCCACCGGGTCAGGAGGGCGATGTTCATGCGTCGGGAGGACAAAATCCCCAGACCCCCCTGGTCCTTGGGTTTACATATGTCCGGCCAACTGACCATATGGTACTTCTGTCTGTCATCCTCGCCAGCCCAGTAGAACCTGGATTGGTACTTGGCAATTTCCATGTGCAGCGTTTCATGGAGGCTATAAAAGCTCATGAGGTACCAAAGAAGGCTGGCGAGAGAGGAGTTGATGAGAATCACACGCGCAGCCTTTGATAGCCAGCGCCCTTTCCAAGGCTCGACGCGATGTTGCATACGGGTCACCGTGGGGCGAAGGTCCGCCACGGTGAGGTGCGAATCACTAATGGGGATCCCCAGGTAGGTCGTGGGGAAAGAACCCAGCCGACAGTTAAGTCGGTCAGCGATAGCCTGAGCTTCCACCGGAGGGTAACCAAGAACCATCACTTCGCTCTTATCGAAGTTGATCGTTAGGCCCGACATCTGCTGGAAGTATAGGAGGAGGAACTTCAGGTTAGCCACGTCCTGAGTAGAACCTTCAACCATTATTATGGTGTCATCCGCGTATTGAATGAGGGAGACCCCTCCCCCTCCGACTAGGTGGGGGACAATGCTGTGAATATGGCCGGCACCCTTGGCTTTGTCCAGGATGGCAGCCAGAGCATCGACCACCATGTTGAACAGGAACGGCGAGAACAGGTCCTCCTGACGCACCCCACAGAGAGTGGGGAAGTATGGCCCAATCTCACCGTTGATGTTCACCGCGGTCCGCCCACAGGAGACTAATTGCATCACGCGAGTCACCCAGCGGTCGTCAAAGCCCTTACGCAGCAGCACTTCCTGAAGGAAAGGCTAGTGCACAGTATCATAAGCTTTATGAAAGTCCAGCTTCAGGAAGACAGCGCGATGTTGTTTCACCCGAACTTCGTGAAGGACTTCATGGAAGACCAACACGCCATCTAAAATAAACTGGCCTTGGATGAAGTCCGATTGGTTCGGATGAGTGATCGAGTTAGCAAGCAGGGTCACCCTATTGGCGTACCCTTTGGCCAGGATCCGGAATATCACGTTAATCACGGTGATGGGACGGAACTAGCGAATATCAGAGGCGCCCGAAACCTTTGGGATGAGGGTAATGATCCCATAATTGAGGCATCCAAGGTCCATAGAGCCCGAATAGAACTCCTCGAAGAGGGCCATGACCTCAGGTTTGACTGTCTGCCAGAACGTTTTAAAGAACGTAACGGGCAAGCCATCCGGACCCGGGGCCGAGGAGGGGTTCATTCCTTTAATGGCCGCGAGTACCTCTTCTTCGGCGAAGGGGGCAACAAGGGCCGCGTTGGCCTCGTCGGAAACCAACTCCACCCCCGTCCAAGTGTCAGGGGCGAGACTAGCCCCACCCCGAGGGGTGGGGGTAAAGAGGGCTTTGTAGAAGCCATCTACATGAGCCCGAATGGCCGTGGGGCGGACAAGGGGGGCTGTTGGAAATATGCCCTAGAGGCAATAATAAAAGTATTATTATATTTCAATGTTCATGATAAATGTCTTTTATTCATGCTATAACTGTATTATCCGGAAATCATAATACACGTGTGAATACTTAGACCACAATATGTCCCTGGTGAGCCTCTAGTTGACTAGCTCGTTGTGATCAACAGATAGTCATGGTTTCCTGACTATGGACATTGGATGTCGTTGATAACGGGATCACATCATTAGGAGAATGATGTGATGGACAAGACCCAATCCTAAGCATAGCATAAAAGATCGTGTAGTTCGTTTTGCTAGAGCTTTGCCAGTGTCAAGTATCTCTTCCTTCGACCATGAGATCGTGTAACTCCCGGATATCGTAAGAGTGCCTTGGGTGTATCAAACGTCACAACGTAACTGGGTGACTATAAAGGTGCATTACAGGTATCTCCAAAAGTAGCTGTTGGGTTGACACGGATCGAGACTGGGATTTGTCACTCCGTATGACGGAGAGGTATCTCTGGGCCCACTCGGTAATGCATCATCATTATGAGCTCAATGTGACCAAGGTGTTGGACACGGGATCATGCATTAAGGTACGAGTAAAGTGACTTGCCGGTAACGAGACTGAACAAGGTATTGGGATACCGACGATCGAGTCTCGGGCAAGTAACGTACCGATTGACAAAGGGAATTGCATACAGGGTTTTGATCGAATCCTCGACATAGTGGTTCATCCGATGACAACATCGAGGAGCATGTGGGAGCCATCATGGGTATCCAGATCCCGCTGTTGGTTATTGACTGAGAGCGTCTCGGTCATGTCTGCATGTCTCCCGAACCCGTAGGGTCTACACACTTAAGGTTCGGTGACGCTAGGGTTATTAGGAAGACTAGTATGTGACTACCGAATGTTGTTCGGAGTCCCGGATGGGATCCTGGACATCACGAGGAGATCCGGAAGGGTCCGGAGGTAAAGATTTATATATGGGAAGTTGTCAAACGGACACCGGGAAGTTTCGGGGTCATACCGGTATTGTACCGGGGCCACCGGAAGGGTTCCGGGGGTCCACCGGGAGGGGCCACCCCTCCCGGGGGGCCACATGGGCTGCGTGGGGCAGGGAGCCAGCCCCTGGTGGGCTGGCCGCACCCCCCTCCCTTGGGCCCATGCGCCTAGGGTTGAGGGGGAACCCTAGAGGGGGCGCCCCCCTTGGCTTGGGGGGCAAGCCACCCTCTCCCCTCTCCCCTAGGCCGCCGCACCCCCCCTAGATGGGTTCTAGGGGGCCGGCCCCCTTGTCCCTTCCCCATATAAATAGAAGGGTGAGGGGAGGGCAGCCGTACCACCCTCCAAGGCGCAGCCCTCCCCTCCCCAACACCTCTCCTCCTCCGTTGTGTGCTTGGCGAAGCCCTGTCGGAGTACTGCCTCTCCACCATCACCACGCCGTCGTGCTGTCGGTGGAGCTGTCTTCCTCAACCTCTCCTTCCCCCTTGCTGGATCAAGAAGGAGGAGACGTCTCCCGTCCCGTACGTGTGTTGAACGCGGAGGTGCTGTCCGTTCAGCACTTGGTCATCGGTGATTCGAATCACGTCGAGTACGACTACATCATCACCTTGCAAGCTTCCGCACGCAATCTACAAGTGGTATGTAGATGCAAACTCTCTCCCTTGACTCGTTGCTTAGATGAACTCATAGATGGATCTTGGTGAAACCGTAGGAAAAATTTTAATTTTCTGCAACGTTCCCCAACAGTGGCATCATGAGCTAGGTCTATGCGTAGTTCTCTTTGCACGAGTAGAACACAATTTTGTTGTGGGCGTGGATTTTGTCATCTTACTTGCCTCTACTAGTCTTTTCTTGCTCAACGGTATTGTGGGATGAAGCGGCCCGGACCAACCTTACACGTACGCTTACGTGAGACCGGTTCCACCGACTGATATGCACTAGTTGCATAAGGTGGCTGGCGGGTGTCTGTCTCTCCCACTTTAGTTGGAGCGGAATCGATGAACAGGGCCCTTATGAAGGGTAAATAGAAGTTGACAAAATCACGTTGTGGTGATTCGTAGGTAAGAAAACGTTCTTGCTAGAACCCAATTGCAGCCACGTAAAAGATGCAACAACAATTAGAGGACGTCTAACTTGTTTTTGCAGCGATTGATCATGTGATGTGATATGGCCAGAAGTTGTGATGAATGATGAATTGTGATGTATGAGATCATGTTCTTTGTAATAGGATTCACGACTTGCATGTCGATGAGTATGACAACCGGCAGGAGCCATAGGAGTTGTCTTTATTT